AAAACCCTTATATTCCAACGGATTTTAATTTTCGTCGGAAATTTCCGACGAAAAAAAAATCCGTCGGAACTTCTGACGTTTCCGACGGAATTACGTGTCCGTCGGAAATAGTTCGTCGGAAATCGGCCTATTTCTAGTAGTGTCTTCTTCTTTGACACAATCTGGGTTGTCTGACTTTGCACCTGGTCATGTTGTGTCGGTTGTAGCTTAGCGGAAGCGGGACAAGTATGTATGGGGTGTGTGCCGCGCGTTGCAGGGTTACTGGCTATGGTTTTCTTCCTTTCTCCTTTTCTTCCTTGGGGGAATTAGAGGTTGTTGCGTTGCTGAAGCGGGTTCATGTGTTCGCTAGGACTCAGGATATTGGTGCTCATTGTAATACCCCGTATTTTTATACATATTTTAACTTAAATAAGTATTTCTTAAAGTATTTAAATAATTCGAAATGAATTATTTTTGGAGTTTCATTGATTTAAAAAGAATTATTTTAGTTAAAAGACTCTTAAAAATATTTTATTTCATGATTTGGAAATATTGGGGCATATTATTTTATAAAAAGGTAATTTTAAAGTCAACGAGTTTTTAAAGAAAGTCAAAATACTAGTTTGAATAGGAAAGAGATCGTTAAGGGTAAAAAGGGAATTTAAGTCTAGGAGGGTTTAGAAAGGGAATATAAATACCCATCACATGGGCAAATTGAACCTTGCTCAAGGTGGAGAATACCCAAATGTAACTCTCTTTCTCTCTCCTCTTATTTTCTCTCTTTTTCTCTTAATTTTTCCCCTTCCCCTTTATTTTTATTTTTGTTTCATAACTACCCACACACACCACCACCACCGGCCGGCCACCACCACAACCACCACCGGCTGGCTGCCACCACCAGCGAGCGCCAGCAGCAACAACACCGACCGGCAGGCGCGGCAGCAGCCCTGCCGTGGTGGTGCTATGCGCCGGTGGTCGAACAAAAAAAAATTGTTCTTTTTGATTTTTAATTAAATCTACCCTTAATCTAATAATTGTTTTTGGGTTTTGTGATGATTTTTATGATGTTTGATAATAAGTATTTGTATATAAATTTTCTGATTTGGTTTTAAATTAAAAAGCCCCAAATTACAAACCCTAGGTTTCTAAGTTTATGTATATTGATGGAAATTGTTTATGGGTGATTTAAAGTATTGAAATAAGTGTTTTAAAACACAATTACAGCAATTTAGACGATTTAATAAAGCTGAAATTTTTATATATAAGCTATAATTACGTTTCTTGAAATGATTTTTAATTACCCATTAATTGGAATAAAAGTAAGGATTTTAAATTAAATTTTAGCTTGTTTTAGAGGGTTTATGAGTGATTTAAAGGGTGTATATATTGCTGGAAATTTGTGTGGAATAGGTATTAATGTCTCTTTGTAATTTTGGTTTGTAGGAGGTTTCCAAGTGAGTGATTTGATTTAGTCGTGGCGATTTTGAGATCATATTCAAGGTACGTTCGCGTATTCGGTAATTATTTGAATATGTAGAAGCATGCTAGGCTTTGATAAATTAATTCCAAGTAGTATCATGATAGGTGTTGGTTAGAATTTGTTGATTGGATTGATGATTGGTAAATGATTTGTGATGTATGAATTATTTATGATGAATTGATGATTGGAATTAATTATGTTGGCATGTTGATTATGAACCACACTTTTATTATTGGCATGATAGAGAGCATGTTTAATTAAACTAAATGTTTAATTTGGTTTGGAATATGAAAAAGGAATTTTATTATGGTTCATATAATTTTTATTGATGCTATAAGCATGAGGAAGGAGCTATTTAAGTGTCTATGTACACGATGATTAAATTATATTTTGGTGCCTAAGTGCACTTAAGATATTCTAAACACCGAGGGATAGGATTTGTGGTGCTTTATGCGCTTAAGATGTTATTTTACACCGAGGTAGTTTAAAAAGGATTCAACATTAAATTTATGTGGTCACTAATGATTCAAGAATTAAATTGGTATGTTTGATTGCTTGAATGAATTATAATGTTTGATTGTGTTATGGTTTGAGAGTCATCACCAAGTATAATAATATGTAAAGCAACGTAAAGTGAAAGAGATTACGCACCAAAACTATTGGAACGTATATACCTTGAGTATGAACATATGGGGAGAGTTATGCGACTTTATATTTGACCATAACTTCTACTGGGAGTACGGGACGCTGTATATTCCTTTTTATTATGCGCAGGAATTCCGCCACTTACGAGTGGTTCTTTTATACTGCCACAGTTAGCTCCCGTATTAGTACCCCTTTATTGGGGCAGGTTAAGGGGAAACTCGTTCGGTGCGTAATCAAATTAAATGGATATTGGTAGTCTAGTTAAGTGTTGAATGTCTGTATGCTTGTTTACAAGTGCAACAAGGTAAGTTGTGTGATGATAGGATGAAAGCATGATAGTGTGTTTTATTACGCTTATGTACTCAGCATTGCTGATTGTGTGTTGTATGTTTGTTTGGCCTTGTCTTTACCTTGGCCTTACGAAAACCCATTTCTAATGGCGAGTAGTGGGGACAAGTAGAGAGAAGTTTTTCAGGTGATGAAGCATTTTCATGATGGGCATGAGTGAAAAGCGAATCATGCTTAGTTTTCCATAGGAATATAATGTGTTTTATTTGCTTTGAATATTATTTATTTTATTATGCTCACGAGACTAACGTAAAGGTTTTCAGTATTGTTTGGTTTTAAGGGATTACAATGGTTCCAAGTTGTAGGTTGATTTTGTTTGACTTTTTAAGTTGACTTGTTTTGAATGGTTTTAAAGAGAGTCTTCCGCTGTGTGTCATTGATATTTGCCTTAGCCGTTTTCATGGTGGCGGTAATATCTTAGATTTTCCTATTTCGTATTTCAAAAAGGGCAAAACGGGTGTTTTAAAGGAAAGGAATTTCTAGGGTGTTACACTCGTGCAGGTGCTCACATCTTTAGTAGGATCAGGTTTGCAATACCTAGAGAATCTCGGCCCCCCACTAATTTCTTGTAATTCGGTTGACTTTGTAGGTTATTGTTACTTTTCATAATAATAATAATAATAATAATAATAATAATATATTAACTATTACTTAAACAGGTCATGCTGACATCATTGATAGACTCATGCCAACTTCTTATAAAAAAAATTAATTGAACTCATGATCTCTAGATTAAACATTAGAAATTTAACCATTGAACCATATCATAATTTACGTCCTTTAATGCAAACAAAATAATTATGTGACACATAAAAAAAAATCAATAAAAGTGGAATTCAATCATAATTATCATGCACAATTGTTGTAATACACGTAATGTAATAACACAAGTATTATCTTGTCCCAAAAACTAATATTCCCTCCATTTTTTGTAGTGAAACATTTTTTCTAGGGCAAATATGTCAAACAATTTCATTCAAACAATTTCAAAAAGTACTCACAGTCTCACAAAATATATATATATATATATATATATATATATATATATATATATATATATATATTTTCTTATATTAAATCAATAACATAAGTCAAAACGGAATAGGTGAATAATGTAAAAAGTCAAAATATTGCACTAAATAAAAATGTAGGAAGCATTCTGTGTGTACTAAAAGACGAAGTTTTTTTTTTTTTTTCTTATTCAAATTTTTTTATTTATTATTTTCAAATACGAAGTATGCTTCTGCTATGTTATTTTGATATACAAGCTGTCACATGGACTTATCAGAAAAATAAGGACCAACGACAATGGACTTGTTGTTCCAGTCATCACCAAATGTCCAACTAAATTACAATGTTGGGTCCACTACAACATTGGATCGGATTCACAACTGTAGGGGCGGGTCTACGATATTGGACCATTATAAATATGGGCCCGTAAATCATAGTTCCAGAATATACCATAACTAGTTTTCATGTCTGGCAAATGGGCAATACGCCGGCTCAATATTTTCAGTTATTTCGTTGTAATAATTCCGTTCTCTTGTACTTGTAACGTTTGGTATATTGCGCATTTGCAATATTCAAACCGTCATGCATATTCATTTGACTAGATTGATATTCTTGTGGGATTTTTTTTATTTGTCTCGATTTATATTTTCATAACATCAATTTTTTAAAATTAGTATTTTTATCACTTATTTATACAATAATTCGATATATAAGGAGTTGATTTGTATTTTTTTTGTGTGACTTGTAAAATTGGTTTACTGACTTTACTCCCTTAACTTGGTAGCCAAAAAACTTATCACTTTTGTAAAATTGGTTAAACTTGGTACCCAAAATATAACTACATATAACTTAAGTACGAATTTTTATTGGAAGAATTCACAGCAGATGTTATTAAGCACTTAAACTCAGTCATACGAGTATAGTTTTGACATCGAAAATTACAAATCCTATAAACCCAAAAAAAAACGTGGAAAAAGGTCCTACCGAGATTTGAACTCGGGTTACTGGATTCAGAGTCCAATGTCCTGACCACTAGACCATAGGACCATACTGTTGCTACAAATTCATTTGCAACAATTTTATAACCTTATTAATATTAAAATAATCCTAGTAACTTGGTTTGTTCTTCGTTTCGCTTAATCACCCCCCTCAAAACAAAAATGCATCAATTTTTATCCTGTAAATCGACATTCTTTGGTTTTTTTTTTTAATTGGAACAAAGTGAATGTAAACTTTCGTATTTGTTTATGACAAAATTGGTAGCAAAGAGGCAGATTATTTCTCGGCTTTTTAGATGAAACATCAAAAATTCATATTATCAGAAAATTGGAATATTTACCTCTCTCATTTACTTGGATTGAAAATTATAACTAACCAAGGAACAAAAAACATATAGCTATCCATATAATATAGGAGTTTGCTAAATTAGATAATTCGAGGAATATAACAAGGGAAAAAATTCCGTCATTAACAAATTCATTAACTCGGATTATGTAAACTAAAATCAACAAACAAATTAAAATGTTACCACCATCGATTAATCGAACAACGAACAAACCAATTTCATTAATAATAATCCAAATCAGGATTAAACAAAAGAATGAACAAATGATACTTGAGTTTCACACTACTTACTAAATACTATATATAACATAAGAAACCAAAATAAATTAAACACTTAATTCCCATTGATGAAGAAAAAAAATAAAACACTGAAATCTTCCCTTAAACTTGGAATGGCCAAGGCCAATTCTTCAAATCCTCCTCTTTTCCATTCCCATTCCCATTCCCATTCCCGCCTCGGCCGGTTCCATCAACAAAAGCATGGTACCTCAACATAAACGCCAAACTCATAACAACCCACTCTAGGAAAAACATAACAACACACAACCCACCCGCCAATTTCAGTATTACAGCCGCATCTTCGAATCGAACATACGATTTCATAGCGGATAGAAAGTTGTCTGTCGTGGTGAAGATCAACACCGCGACAGACCCCTGAAAGATGGCTGTCAAGACGGTGGAGACCATATGGAAGGCGTACCATTTGTGGGAACCTGCTGAAGATGCAGCACAACCCGAAACGGCACCGCCAATTGTAAGGATGTGAAGGAGAATGAAGAGGAATCCGATTATTGAAGGGAATAAACGGAGTGATAATGTTAGGAATATGCAACTAGAAGCTGCTCCTAACAGGATGTAATTGCATATTAGGAAGATTTTGTGTGTGTGAGTTTGTGATTGAGTGATTTGGAGACCCATTTGGGGGAATTTTTCTGGGTTGTTGATGAATTTTGGTGATTTTGAGTGTAATTTGAGAATTTTTGAGTGGGTTTAGAGAGAAAAGAGGGAGAATAGAGATGATTTGGGTGGAATTGAGAGAAGGGAGTGATATATAGGAAGAGAGTGGCAACGGTCATATGAAAATTGTAGTGGGTGAAATTGAAATGTGACCGTTGTTAACAGGGGTACGTTTAAAGGTAACGGCTATTATATTGGGTTTTTTCTTTTTTTTTGGGGTGGGAGTTGGGTTTTTGGCTGGCAAAGTTTATGTTTTGCGTGATTAATTTAAACTGATTATAATTCATTTGGGCCATTTGGCTGATTTGGGTATTATCGAGTTGGGTTTATGGGAAGAACCTATTCCAACAAAATGTGATAAAACAGACTCAATTTAAAATTTCAAATGGTATAACCTGGGATCTGATTTTGATTGTTAAATAGCAACTTGAAATCAACCTATAACTCAAACTGCATCTAACTCGAAAGTTAAAACTGGATTTGACCTGCTCCTAATCAATCTTATCCGAAATCAACCCAAATCAAAGTTGACTCTACTCGGAATTTTGTATCCCAATATACTCCATCCATCCTCAAAAGTTCAATTACTAAGTTGAATTCAAGTGAAGAGAAAGCTACAAAATCAATAATGATTTTCCCTCTTTTTTTTCAAGTTGATTATTCTATACTTTTCTTTTTTGCACATTCAATCGTGAGCCCAAACCCACAAATAGTGTTGGGCTTCTAGAGCCAAACCAGACTTTTCGGGTTAGGCTTTGGCTTTGAAAATGCGTTTTTTGGGTTGCCCGAACCCGCACCTTTTTCGGGTTGGGCCAAATCGAGGTAGCAACCTGAATTATTGTTGATTACCTCTACTTTTATCATATCTATTTTTTCAATAAAATAATATTCCACTATCTACGTTCACATCTACTTAATAAAGTAACAATTGATAACCAAACACCAATTTAGCATCTAAAATTATGTGTCAAGATAAGTGTAAAACCTAATTTGGAACGAAGAGGTATCAAGTATACATTAATTGATAAAACATATTGAATCTCTATCTTTAAAAAAGTCTGAGATATATCTTATAAATAGTGTTTGGATAATTATACCCTCTATAATGTTAAATTACTTGTTCGCCCTCGTTTATGTTAATTGCTTTTTTTTTAACTCTTAACTATAGTATGCGGACATTTATACCCTTAAAAATAATATGCTTACATATTTTTCCTTATTAACATTGTCAACAACGAAAGTTAAGATATAATGTCAAACCAAAAAAACTATCTGGACAAAGCTAGCTATGGCGCCGGGCGCCCTGGCGACTACATAAAGGAGTTTATGTATAGATTAAAGAAACTAGAAGGAATCTTATTCAATGCTTAATAGCTTTCGTACTTGTTTTCATTGATGTACATTAAAAAAGAATTTTTGGACAATAGCTATTGATTATTCTATGTTATAAATTTTTTATTTAAAAAAAAAAATCTATTTTATACTTATAGGCAAAGAGTACAAGTGGAAATTAATTAAGTGATTAATGGAACTATGTTTTTTTTTTTTTTTTTTTGGACAACACTATTTTGACAGTTGCACACTTGCACAATCTCAACACAATTGGTAGTCATTAAGAAAAGTCAATTGGTGATAATCTGATAACAACATGCGGCTCCATGGCTGCTCACGAATCATGTGTTCACGAATCATAGTGGATTAGTGGGCCTTCAAATAATAATCCTCACAATTATGACCTTTCGGTAACTCGGATGGCTATTTGGCTATGGACCCTCTATTCGCAGAGGTCAACTAAGTTATTGTGGTAGATCTAGATTTATATGCACACGATGTAGTCTTTAAATTAAAATTAAGGAAAACAAAATTGTACGAATATAATATAACTATTTTGCAAGTGTATCAAACTCATTAGAAGTTGGTTGATTTGTCAAAAGTTAAAACTCGCATTTAATAATTTATTAGTATGACACAATTTTAATCGATGCTAAATAATTTTAATACTTGAAGTAATTGGACCATTCTTAGTCTCTCTTCATCATCCTTAGCTGCTAATAATTATTTAATTTGGGATTGATTAATGATCATTACTTATGTATTTTATATTACTTCCTCCATATTTATATAAGTGACACGTTTCTCTGCACGTATGACAATGCAAAACTTTGACTTATAATATCTTTAACTATCAATAATTACTATAACAATTGAATAGTAATAAACTATTCATTGAGGTGATTCCAACAAATTAAATATGCATAAGACTATATTTATTCTTATGTATAAATCACAAACATTAGTCAAAGTGAATTAGATAAATAGTGTAAAAAGTCAAAATATTTCACTTATTTAAACATGGAGGAAGTAATTCTTTTCAGAAATCTTTACTTAATTTTAATTGTAAAGAAACAAAACCGTTTGAGAAAAAAATTATGGAGTATCTGTCAGATAATATAAAACTCCTTAATCAGAGTGATTCCCATTAACCAATATTTATAGGTTTAAAATGTAAATCCTAATCATATTAGATAATTAACAAGATATGTAAAGAAAACAAATTTGTGAAAAGTAAAAAAAATCTATATTTATTCGAATCTCGCGAAGGAGGTATTGTGGATGATTTAGATGTATCAAGGATGTGTTTAGGCTAATAACATAGATATTCGATGATGATTGGAGCTAGGTGGTTATAGCTTATATGGTTCTAGCTAATCTAAAAACGGGGAAAATGACCTCTATTTATAAAGCAAAAAAGAGAGGTGGGTTTAATTATCTAACCCACCGACAGGGTAAGTACTTTTGTATATGATTCAAAGATTTCCCCTAAGCTGTGATACTATGTCAATTAATATAAACAAGATATGTAAAGATATCATAGAAATATTTTTATACAAATATATCCTAAACCTATTGAGATACTCCGTAACTATTGACAATTATTGTCATTTTGTTATACAAGTTACTGGGAGGATATCTTTACAACATTATTATGTGAAGTGAACCCTAAATTTTAGAACACGTGCTTCTTATATTTGGATTTTTCAACTTGAATGTTGACATATATTGCTCAGCTGTTTGCCTGTTGTTAACTTGTTATATACTACATTAAGTAGCTTTCAAAAATCTACTTTACAGTACGTAGTTGTTCCCATTTGAATAGGGCATGCAAATACTAGAATGTTTGGAACAATACTGGGTTAATGGATTTGCCAAAGAAGTTTATTTGATGCGTTATAGTACTTCCTTCTGTCCAATTAAATTGATATTGTGAAACTACATATCAAAATGGTTATATTTTTTTTTTTTTTTTTTTTTTTTTTGAGGAAAATCTAAATGGTTTATTAGTTCAACATGAATCTACACGAGTATGTTTATCTTATACAAAGTACATTTTTATCATATTTTTATTTCATTGAAGTTTTCATAATTTCAAATAAAATTATCAATCAGAGATAAAAAAACTAAAAAAAATTAAATAAAAAAAAACGTAGCAAAGGTATACTAATTATGATCATCCTGCTAAGATAAAACCAAAATGAAGTTTTTTTTTTTTATTTTGTTTACATGATCAATATTTGCTTAAGTACATGTATAGAATACAATAATATAGAATATTATAATGTAAAATTTTGTCTATAAAAGAAGTAACGCTCACGACTTCACGTATTGTGATTTGTGAACACGAGGCAAAGAAGCCATCTCACTTCTATCTCTATTGTTTCGGGTGAAAACAATAGGTCTATCGTCTGGACCTTTCTGGTGGGCTGAACACTGGAGTCGGCCCTAGAGATGAATGGGACGAGGGTTTCCTGCACAGCAAACACACGTAAACTGGCCTCGGGGGTTGTGCTGAGGAAGACCCCTCCGATGCCGAAGTCAGTACAGTGTTTTTAGAGAGAAAAAGCTATGCAAGAGTATTAATTGCTTGAGATTTGAAGTGAATGAATGTAGAGAGAGAAGAGTGAAGGCTTTTATACCTTGCTCAATAGATAAATGGGCCTTGATATCAAGTGGGCTTGCCACGTTGGCTGGACCATTGACTGACTTGGCATGCTTTAAGAGGATTGAACCTTCTATGAGCTTTTAATTAAATGATTCGTGGACTGGCCCAATTAGAGTGAATTGGACCCAAACAACTTGCCCCCCAGACCCGATTTGGGATCTTGCCGAAACAGGTTTGACTTGCAAAATAATGGAAGGAAACAAAGGATTTAATTAAATTTTGAACTTTTGGAGTTATTTGAGGGATCGGAGTGAAGGTTATTTTGAATTAATTGGGAAGTTGGATGGTTTAGTGGGTAGTTAATTAGAGAAGCACATGAACAATGAGGTATTGAAGTAGAATTAGTAGGGATTTTAGTGGCGCGGACTCCCAAAATTCTCATTTCTGGAAGGTATTTAAGCCACTCGTCCCACTTTTTCTCCTTATTTCCTTTCGCTAATTTCAATTTGCTTTTCGCTAATTTCAATTTGCTTTTCGCTAATTTCCGCCACTAAACCGCTTTTCCTTTTTCCGCTTATTCTCAGAAATCCGAAGCGTAAAACTGGAATTCGTTGCCCTGAATCCATAGATCGGCAAATTTCGCATCTGATAAAGGTAATTTTCTTTGAATTTTCTTCAATTCGGTTTTCTTTGCTTTTTTGAGTACCCCTCTTTTTTCCGTTTTCTCGCACCGCCACTGTTTGAAAATGGCCAACGGCCATGGCAAAAGGCCTATGGAAGCTGAGGAAGAGGAGGAGGAGGCGCCGCAGTTGGTTCCGCGGCGAAATCGTCCTCTAGTGATGATGTTGCTCCTCAGCGATCTGAATCCTAACGCCAAGGCTGGAGCTGTTGCTACCCCGAGTGGGACTGCAATTAGTGTGCCGATTACCACCTTGCCCCCCAGGGCCTCAGAAGGAGCCAGCACCTCTGGCAGAAGCGTGGCTTCGTCATCTAGGCCTCTAACTCCCGAGGAACGGGAGTGGACGAGAACAACAGCATTGTGACAGCTTGACCTTATTCGTTGTGGGTCGAAAACAGCGCCACGTAGCGCTTTGCCGAGCAAGTTGAGATCTTCTACGGCATAATGGAGGAAGATGGGTATTGGTGCCGCATGCCCACTACCGATGAAAAAATTCACCGTCCTCCACCAGGCTACATTGGGGTCTATACTCGGTAGCTGCAATACGGGCTTCGGTTTCATGCTCATTCCTTTTTAATCAAGGTGCTGGACGGGTACAACATCTCGTTGTCTCAGCTGACCCCTTTCAGCATCTGAAGAATAATGACTTATCTTTGGGTGTGCCTATTTTACGAGCTCACGTCGAGTGTGCATTGCTTCCACTGCATGCACAAGTTAATGCCGAATAAACAGTCCAACAAATGGCATGGCCCCGGTTAGTGGCAAATTGAAAATGATAGGGGCTTCCTTTCTACTTATCCGAATGATACCTCGGATAAGGACTGGAAGGGCCAATGGATCTGGGTT